GTTGACCTGGGGGGAGGGGGGGATGGTGGGGCCAGAGGGGGATGTACACAAAGGGCAGCATGACTTTGCTTTCTCCTCCCCGGAGGGCCTGGCTCAGGCCAGAGAGCAGAACATATGATCAGTTCTCTACTGGTGGCGATTCTTGGCCTGCTGTGCGCGTCAGAGCCACTTCTCCTGGTCACCTGGCCTGCCCCTGCCCCCTCCTTTACATCCATCCTTCCCTCCCTGGCACCTCCCGTGACTTGTGCCTTTGGGGCCACCCAGGAGGGCTCATTACAGAGCCAGCCATGGTCACAGCCTTGGGGTCCGGGATAGAGCCGGGGTTGCCAGAACAGGGGAGAAAGTCATTAAGGAGCTCTGTGAACTTGAGTACATTTCTTTCCCTCACTGGGCCTCAGTTTTCTTATCTGTCAAATAAGTTGCACTAGATCAGTTTTTCTTAAACACCCATTCCGTGGGTTATTAAGAGGCGTCACAAAATAGAAGGGCTCCACGAACAACTAACTTGGGAAACCCTGGGCTCGAGCGGAATTGACAAAAGTGTTCTTTGAGGGCACTTTTGGGAACCGTTGAGATGCTCAAGTGCATTGGGAGTCTGTGGGAGGGAGGGTGTTAGCCAGTTTCCTGTGATTTTGCCTTTGAGCTTTTCTGTTGCCTCTCCTGAGGCTGGTGTTCCTGGAGCTCACTTTGAGGGCTGAGGGGTGGGATGCATCGAGGCTTAGTCCCATTGACTGGGCCAGGGGTACCCTGGGCAGTGTCAGGGTCCTTCAGCTTACTGGTACTGCTTCCCGCCCTCAGCTGCCCAACATGTTTGGGAACCTACGATCTACGTTCATGGCCCTCATGATCGGCTCCTACGCCTCTTCTGCCATCACATTCCCGGGAATCAAGGTATTGGACCTGCAGTGAGGTCACCTGGGTTTTCTTTTTGCCTAGAGAAACTAGGTGGGGCTGGGTGAGTGGCTGGCATGCCTGGGAACTGTTGTTCCTGCCAGGCAGAGGTCAGTCCCCACCACCGTGGGGCAAGCACTGAAGTGTCATGGGAGGGGCCCAGGCATTGCCGCTGGTCGATGGGTCTCCCTGCTTGCCTCCTTTCCTGTCCTGCCATCCTAGGCCAGGCCTTCGTCCTCTCTTCTGGGCTAGCTCAAGCCTTCCCAGCTGGTCTCCCTGCCTCGGACACCTTTCCCCTCTCTGGTCTGTCCTTCACGTGACTTCCAGATTGATTTTAGTTGGAGGCCTGGCTCACACATCTGCCCTGCTTCACTGACAGAATCAAGTCCCTCCATCCTCTTTACAGACATTCAGTGCCCTTGATCTCTCTTGCCTCAACCACTTTTCCAGTCACATTTCCTTCACCTGCCCTGGAGAGGCTTGTTGCCTTGGTCCAAGGTCATGAAGTTAGTCCATATCAGGCTACAGCCTGAACAAATCAGCCTGGCAGAATTAGAACCAGAAGGCCTGAGTTCTAGCTTGGGGGCAAGCTTGGGGCCTCATGCCTTCCTCTGATATCAAATGATAACAAAGCGTGCTTTCAACTGGGCCATAGGATGCCCTTCAGATTCCACCATGGGCAGTGAAGTTTGTTTAGGAGGCACTTGCTGGGTGCCCCCAAAGGAGTTTGAGAGTGCATGGGTGGGAGTGGCCATCAGTTGTTCAGGTAGCAGCAGGCATGGAGGGTGGGAGGGGTTTGAGGAGGCAGATCTTAACACCCACTCACTTGGAGATGTGGTTCTTTGAAGCTCTGTCCTGTCCCCCAGAGAAGAAGAGAGCCTCAAGGCCCAAGGCTGAGGAGGAGCAGAAATTTTCCCAGGCAGCACTGGAGCTCTGGGCAGGAGCCTGAGGAGGGGGCAGGTGTCAGTCATCCCAGGCAGGGAGGACAAGAGCAGGGACACCATCTCTAGGTACCTGGCTTCCCCAGTGGAGGGCTGACGCATTGGCACAGAATCCCACTCAGTTCCCAGCCCACTTGGGTTGGAAGGCCTTGGGCAGCGCTCTTTGCACACATGCGCACACGCCCACGCTCTCAGTTGTACTCCCTGGGAACACCTGTGAAAGGTGAGATAAGGCTTCTCGGTCGGGTGTGTCTTTCCCTCAGGGAACATGCCAGGAAGGGGCAAGATACACACAGGCCTGGTAAACCTAGAGCATTACTTTTTCCCTTTTGTACATAAAATGCAATGGCATTTTTGTGTGGAAGCCAACATGTGCGTGGAGTCACAGGCAGGCTTGTGTGTCCTTTTCCGATAATAATTGACATTCCAAAGACCTTCAGCACCCGGGGGTGGGTGGGTGGGATTACTTCACGTCTTGTTAGGGGGCTGGGGTGAAAAGGGGAGAGGATGGTGGTCTCCTGGGTCTCTTAACTTCCGGCCTCCACTTCCCATCTGCAAATCAGGTGCAAGGAATGGGGTAGAAGAGACCTTGTCTAGGGTCTCTGAGGCCTGGGCTCTGCCTTGGGCTGGGAGAGGTGAGGCCAGGTGGTCCATGGGCCTGCCCCTCCTTCCACAGCTGATCTATGACGCTGGCGTGTCCTTCATGGTCATCATGTTCACGTGGTCGGGCCTGGCCTGCCTCATCTTTCTGAACTGTGCTCTCAACTGGCCCAGCGAAGCCTTTCCTGCTCCCGAGGAAGTCAACTATACGTGAGTGGCTGTGGAGGGCTGTGTGACGAGGGGGACTCCCCTCCCTGTGGAGGGAGGGGTGGGTGGGGAGTGGGGGGCGGTAATACAATGGACAGAATCAGCTTTGGCCTCTGCTTTCTCATCTGTACAATGGGCGTGATCCTCCCCACCGACAAGCGTTTGAGTAGAAGTGGCACATAACGGGCGGTCAAAACACCGCCACTGTTATTCTTTCTGAGTTTGGAGGACGGGAACAGAGTAGGAGGGATCCCAGCAACAGTGCCATGTGTCATATGGTCCCAGGAGGGGGATACAAAGACTCAAATACCCCACCCTTTGTAGGACAGCCTGAATGCTGACTTTTCTCCACCCCCTATCAGTTCAGTGGGGTCAGGGGAGATGTTCCACAAGGAAGCCTGTCAAAAAGCTGATATTTGAGTGTCTGCTGCGGGCCAGGCCCTGTGCTTAGCAGTCCTACCACCCTCCACAGTCCTGTTAGTGGGTTCTTTTATTAACTCCATTCATAACAAAAGTTCAGGGAACAAAGTGACTTTCCTAAAGTCCAACCATTGAAGGGGGCAAATTAAAGATTGGAACCAGGCTCTCTGACTCCAGAGTCTGAATTCTTTGGTTTTTTGTTTGTTTGTTTGTTTGTTTTTATTAAAAAAGTTTTTTGGGGGTGCCTGGGTGGCTCAGTCAGTTGAGCGTCTGACTTCAGCTCAGGTCATGATCTCACGGCTTGAGTTCGAGCCCCGTATTGGTCTCTGTGCTGACGGCTCAGAGCCTGGAGCCTCTTCAGATTCTGTGTCTTTCTCTCTCTCTCTGCCCCTCCCCCGCTCACACTCTGCCTCTCTGTGTCTCTCAAAAATAAACATTAATAAAAAAAAGTTTTTTTAATGCTTATTTTTGAGAGTGAGAGGGAGGGACGGAGTGGGGGAGGGGCAGGGAGAGAGGGAGACACAGAATCTGAGCTGTCAGCACACAGCTCAACGTGGGGCTCAAACTCAAAAACCGTGAGATCATGACCTGAGCCGAAGTTGAATGCTTAACCAACAGAGCCATCCAGGCGCCCCTCCAGAGTCTGAATTCTTTTTTTTTTTTTTTAATTTTTTAACATTTATTCAATTTTGAGAGACCCAGACAGAGTGCAAGCAAGGGTGGCGCAGAGAGAGGGAGACAGAGAATCCAAAGCAGGCTCCAGGCTCCGAGCTGTCAGCACAAAGCCTGACATGGGGCTCGAACTCACCAACGGTGAGATCGTGACCTCAGCCAAAGTGGAATGCTTAACCAACTGAGCCACCCAGGCTCCCCTCCAGAGTCTGAATTCTTAATGCTGCCTCCATGGCAACAGCCCAAGTGAAAAAGGACTCGCCCACCCTTCACTTACTGGGTGCTAAAGCTGGCCCCTGGCCCAGGCTCCGAGTGACAGATGCGAGCCTGCACTAGGCAGCTTGTCAGTGGGCATGTCAGCCAGCGCCAGGTAAAGGGTTGCGCAGCACCCCTAGGGCAGACTGGGATGGACCCCTTGGGCAGGCTGTCGAGGGTGGGCTCTGCGTGGCTGGTTCCCACATTCCCTGGCCCGGCTGCTGGCAGGAAGAAGATCAAGCTCAGCGGACTGGCCCTTGATCACAAGGTGACAGGTGACCGCTTCTACACCCATGTGACCATTGTGGGCCAGCGGCTGAGCCAGAAGGCCCCCAGCCTGGAGGACGGGGCTGAAGTCTTCATCTCATCCCAGGATGTTCGTGGCATCTCAGAAAGCCCTCCTGAGAGTGAGTGTCTGGTCAAGGGGCCAGCCTTGGGTGACAGGTGGGGTGGGTCCTCATGCTTATTAGTGACCACTCGTTCTCTCCCCTTGTGCTCTATACCCAACACCCCATGATGTAAATAGGTGAGGTTTGATCCCCATTTACAGAATGAGGGGAAATCAGAGCTCAGAGAACTCCACAAGTGCAGACTCGGGGGTACTCTGTTGGATTCCTGCGTGAAGGAGGGGGGGAGGAGCTTCCAGAATGGGGCAGGATCTCCAGGCCTGTGGGACGGTTGGTTTCATCAGGGCTCCCTACAGCCTCTGAGCCCCTTGCATCAGGTGCCGCCAGGTTGAGCCAGCTGCGAGGCCCTCCAGCGCCCGGCTGGCTGGCTCCCCCTGCTGGCTGGAAGAGGATCTGCAGCCACCTGCCTGAGCCGCTTCCCAAGGTGTCAGCTCCCAGAAGATCGGCAGGTGCACCTGCCCTGGAGTCAGGAGGTGGGGAGTCCGGCTCCTCAGTTGCAGGCCGTGTGACTTGGGCAGATCACTTAAGCCTGTTCTGGCTTTCCTTATCTCTGAAACTAGCAGTCATCATGCGCAGTGGAGGGGGAAGTTAGCGGTGAGGCTTAAACGGAGACGTGGATATGGCAGCTCTGTAATAAATGGCACAAGGCTGTGCAGTCGTGAGGGTATGACCCCCCCACCCCCACCCCCGCGGAGGCTCCCGTGGCAGAGTGGTGGCAGCCATGAGCTGAGTCCAGCCGACCTGCAGCTTCCAGCCCTGTGAGCTTGAGCAAGTCACTGGGTCAATTTCCTCATCTGCAGAACGTGCTGAGGACAGGGTTGTTGTTCACTTTTGGTAAATGGGAAGGTGCTTAATAAATAGTAGCTAGAGTTATTACCACACCAAGGTATACACCCAGCGGGCAGCTGAAAACGTTCTGTTGAGATCAGTATTAAACTGGGCAAGAACTTGGAGGCCAGTGAATCTGAGCCCTCGTTTCTGAAGGAACCAATCCCCTGAGAGTCACACAGTGAGTGGCTGAGCCCCTCTAGAACTGCATCAGCTGGGACAGTTGGAGGGCAATGGAAGATCTGGGGCTCAGGGGCGCCCTCTGCTGTCTCTCCAGAGTCTGTCCCCTTCCGCCAGAGCCTCTGTTCCCCCATTTTCCTGTGGAGCCTTCTCACCATGGGCATGACCCAGCTGAGGGTCATCTTCTACATGGCCGCCATGAACAAGATGCTGGAGTACCTCGTGACTGGTGGTCAGGAGCATGGTGAGGTGCTGCTGAGCCCACTGGGGGCTGGGGGCACAGGAGGGTCACCCTGGCGGGCTCCTCTCACTCTGGCTTCTCTCCCCACCCCCCAACAGAGACGGACATCCTGAGAAAAAGGGCGGCAGAGACAGGTAGGGGGATAGAAGTTGGGGGCCTGGCCCACACCCGCCCCACTGGTGCCCACTCCACAGGGAGCCTGGGCCCAGCCTTGTAACTCTGGGCATTTGGGGCATCTGAGAATCTGGGGGTCAGAGGGGGGCTATTCTGGCACGGCTTCTCCTACACCGGAAGTGGGTGACAGTGCCCACCGGGCTGCTGGCATTGCTCGTGCCAGCTCCTGACTCCACTTCTCTTCCCGTCCTGCCCAGTTGGGTTCTACTCCTCCATCTTTGGGGCCATGCAGCTGTTGTGCCTTCTCACCTGCCCCCTCATTGGCTACATCATGGACTGGCGGATCAAGGACTGTGTGGACGCCCCCACTGAGGGCAGTGCCCTCGGAAACGCCAGGTGACCTGTATAGGGATGGTGACAGCTTTTTGTTTTTCATGTGCTTTCACACCCGGCTTCTCATTTCCTTCTCCCGAGAGCCCTGGGAGAGCAGGAATATCTCCCCATTTTACAGATGAGGAAACTAAGGCTAAGGTGGGCATAGCTCACTTGATCATAAGGATAGCTGAGGTCAAGTGCTGACCATGCACTAGGCACCTTGCATTGTCTTACGGAGTCCTACAACAGCTCTCTGAGGGAGGTATGTTATCCTCACTTCACAAAGCTGACACGCAGAAAGGTTAAGCAACTTACCCAAGATCGCACAGCTTGTAGTAGCATGTTCCGGAACCTATGTTGTAAAGGGTATACTCAAAAGCCTTCTTATGGCTAGAAACAGAGAGAGTTGGAATATCAGACATCTATTGCTGTATCACAGATTAGCCCCAAAGCTGGGCATCTTTAAACAGCTAACGTTTCTTGTCTCGTATAGTTTCTGAGTCAGGAATCTGGGAATGACTTAGCTGGGCGTTCTGGCTCAGGGTCTGTCTGTCTGAGTCTGTTTGGGCTGGTGTAACAAAATACCACACACTGGGTGGCTTAAAAACAATAGACACTTATTACCGTTCTGGAGCCTGGAAGCCTCAGATCAGGGAGCCAGTGGTTGACCGAGGACCTTCTTCTGGGCGACTATCTTCTTGCTGTGTCCTCACATGGCCTAAGGAATAGGGAGCTCTGTGGGGCCTCCTTTATAAAGGCACGAATCCTATGATGAGGGCTTTCCCCTCGTGATTTAATCACCCGCCGAGACCCCCACTGCCTAATACTGCCATGTTGGGCATGAGGATTCTAGCATGTGAATTTCGGGGGGACACAGTCATTCAGACCACCGCAGGCTCTCTAGCTGTCGGCCAGGCCTACAGATATCTGAGATATTGACCGAGGTCAGAGAATCTGTTCCTGAGCTCACTCAGGTGGCTCTTGGCAGGAGGTTTGGCCCCTCTCCACCTGGGTCTGTCCCGAGGGCTGCTCACCACAGAACAGCTTCCCCCAGCAAGGGGTCTAAGGGAGGGAGACAAAGACAGAAGCTTCTGTGTCCTTCATAGCGAAATCTCACCAGTGACATTCCATTGTTTCTGTCGTATTCTGTGGGTCATCCAGAGTAACTGGTACAGTGTAGGACGGGACTACACAGGACATGGGTAGCAGGAGGTGGGGCCAATGAGGCCCATCTTGTTGGCTGGAGACCGCAATTGGGTCTTGAACCCGGGTCTTCTGGGTTCTTTCTGTGTTAATCCACATAGTTCCTGTTTGTCCTGAGAGGACAGGAGAGAAGGCAGCTAAGGAACAATCTCGTGGCTTCCCTCCCCAGCATCGGTACTCCAGCCCGGGCACCCTGCCCATGGCCCCTGATGGCAGGGTCATCTGTCTAGGATAGATGAGCATCTCGGCCTGATGGCCTCTCCCCTGGAGTGTGCCAGAGAGGGGCCTGCTGGATAGTCTGGGGCCAATCTGCTGTCCCCGGAGTGGCATCTACTTTTGTCCAGGCTGATGGGCAGAGATGCTTCCGTAGAGGCGTCCAATTGGAGACGGCGTGAGAGCTTCCGGTTCGCCACCTTCTTTCCTATCCTTGATTCTCAGGCTTCAGTGTGTGTGAGACGTGCCTGGGCTGTTTGTCAGAATGCAGCTTCCTGGGCCCAGCCTCTGAGATTCTGGGGTGGGAGCCTGGAATCTGCATTTTAAAGAAAGCCCCGAGGTGATGCTGGGGTAAAAGGTGGGGGAGCCACGCTTTGAGGAACACAGGGCTGGGGAAGTGGTTTGCTGCCTTTGTCGCCCCTGCGGTAGAGGCCCGGGAGAAGAGGGGAAGGCCAGGCGGGGAACCAGGCAGCTGCTGGGGACGTGGAGGCAGCAGCCGGTGACATCCTGTTCTCCTCAGGGATGGGGTCGCCACCAAGTCGGCCAGACCGCGCTACCGCAAGATCCAGAAGATCACCAATGCCATCAACGCCTTCACCCTGACCAACTTTCTGCTGGTGGGGTTTGGCGTCACCTGCCTCATCAATAGCTTACACCTCCAGGTACCCACCTCTGTCCTCCCCCCTCTCCCTGCCTCCCAGGACCCCTCCGAAGGGCCATTTTGCCCCATGCCTGCCTTCCAGGAAGCCAGGTTCTTGTCCTCTGGGTCTGTCTTCTGGGTCTCTGGAGTTCACCCCAGTATTCAGGATCAGGTGGGGGGCTCCCATCGTGGCTTCACTTGCCTGCCACCCTCCCCATCCTGCCTCTGGCCTCCACACCTGCTCTCACCTCTTCCCTCTCTCTTCTTGGACATTCATGTGACCTTTATCACACCGTGGTTCGAGGTTTCTTCCACTCAGCCTGTGGGAGCCTCTGCAGCTGCAATAGTTAGAGTCAGCCACTTCCTCCCCAAACCACGAAGATCCCCGAGGCAGAGTCAAATGGCCCATTGCCCACCCATCACCCCTCTCCTCTGCCTCCCCAGCGAGTGCTGACCTCTTAGAGGTGGGAGCTGGGAGGGCCACCTAATGTGGGCCTGGGGTGGGCGGCTGCCCTGTCCAGGCATCTCATCTTGGGTGGTGGGGTCCTTGCCTCTTAACAAGGAGCCTGCCCAGGGGGTCCTCACCTAGGGAAGCCAGGATTATTCTTCTTCTTCTTCTTCTTAACTTCTTCTCTTCTCCTTCTTCACTCTCACCTTCTCCTCTCTTCTCCTCCTCCTTCTCTTTTTTTCAAGTTTATTTATTTTGAAAGAGAAGAGAGAACAAGCTGAGAGGGGCAGAAGAAAAGAGACCAGAAGGCCGGCTCTGTGCTGACGCAGCAGAGAGCCCAATGCTCTTTCTTCGATCTCGAGGAACTGCGTGAGATCATGACCTGAGCATGGGGACTGGCTAACCAACTGGGCAGCCCCCCCCAAGTGTGCCTTGGTCTCATCTGTCTGCTCTCCCTCTCTCCCCGTCAGCCTGTAAATTTCCAGAGTGCAGCTGCTTATGACTCTCTGCTCCATCTGGGGCAGCCCCGATTCCCTCCTCCTGCCCTTCTGGTTTCCACTGCTACAGTGCTGGAGGACTCCCGAGATGTGTGTATGGCAGCTGCGTGACACATTGTCCACCGTTACCAGGGAGCTGTTCCAATGGCAGTGCGTGGTGCAGGACACCTGGCCAGGTCAGCAGAGGCAGCCCGTCTCTCTTCACCTGCCCGGGCTGGATGAGCCTTGGCCTCTTCCTTCCTCACATCCATGTCAGTCCTCTCTTTGGTCCCATTGTCCACAGACCCATCAGAGCCATCATCTTGTCTCTCAGCCCCCTGCCCTGGCTGTAGGCAGGCAGCTCCTGGCGGGTCCCTGGCTCTGCTTTGCTCCCTGGTCCTGATTAAGTTTATTTAAGTTTTATTTTGGGAGAGACAGGCGGGCAGGGAGGGGGAAAAGGGAGAGGAAGAGAGATCTCAAGCAGACTCTCGTGCTGTGAAGCACGGAGGGCCTGATCAGGGAGCTCAAACTCTGGGGACCCTGAGTCTGATGACAGAGCTGAGAACCAGGATCTGGATGCCAACAAGCAAGAGCCACACCAGGTGCCCTCCTTGAGTCTGTTTTTTTAAATTTGGGGGCTGGGAGACACCTGCGGCGACATCTTTCTGTCCTCCATGGACTCCCTTCGCCTTGTTTCTGAGAAAAAGCCAGAGGCATGTGGTATGAGCAACAGGCACTCTGAGTCCATGCTCCCCTCACCCACGCCCTGTCCAGCTCCTTCACCCCTCCCCTTCTCCGGACTATCTGCTGCAGGCCTTCTTCATTTCTCAAGAAACCCCAAGATGTGTCCCCTACTTTAGGCCATTTAGCGCTTCCTGAACTTCCCTCTTTCACAAACTAGTCTCCCTCAGATAAACTGCAAGCCCACTACAGTCCTACCTTCTCAGGTTCGGCACCCGGGGTCCCCTTGTCAGTGGGAGGCTGCGCCTGTGCCCACGCTCCCAGTGGCAGCCCCCTGGACGCCCCCACCTGCTTTCTCACCTACAGTCTCTATGGCTCCTGTCACCAGCGCAACAATCTGTGTGTGTTATGCTTGCTCGTTGTTTGATGCCCCCCACCAGAAAGCTCTACACCTCTCGAGGGTTCCGGTTCAGAGTGCTGCGATGTGTGCTTTGCCACCTTAGGAAATGGCACTATAGTGGGGAGCTCAGTGAATCCTTAATCAAAAAATAAATAGAACCATGGCAGGTGTCAGTCTATCAGTTGTAGTGGAGGAAGTGGGTCTCCGAGAGATTACACGCTTGCTGTTTCTTCACAGCATGAATAGTGAGTTAGCAGAGCCAGCTTAGTGGCCCCGAAGCCGCAGCACACAGCTTTGAGGCCAGAAATCAGAAACACAGACAAAGAACTTTTTTTTTAATTAATTAAAGTTTATTTATTTATTTATTTGGAGACAGGGAGGGAGAGAGAGTGGGCGTGTGTGCGCACAAGTGGGGGAGGGGCAGAGAGCAAGTAATCCGTGGAAGCCACACTGTCTGCACAGAGCCCGATGTGGGGCTCGAACTCACAAACAGTGAGATCGCGACCTGAGCCGAAATCAGGAGTCGGATGCTTAATTGACTGAGCCACCCAGGTGCCCTGCAAAGAGGCTCTTAAGTTCCACCCTGCCCGCCTAACCTGGGGGCGGGGGGGAGTCTGGCACAGGGGGCTGGACTGGAGAGGGCCACGTGCCCGTCCTAACTGGGCTACCTCTTCTTGACAGGTTCCCGTCCAACCACTTTGGGACGCTGACGGGTCTGCAGTCCCTCATCAGTGCTGTGTTTGCCCTGCTCCAGCAGCCGCTTTTCATGGCCATGGTGGGACCCTTGAAAGGAGAGCCCTTCTGGGTGAGAACTGCGGGTGGCGTGGGGGTGGAGAGCAGGAGCCCCTTTCCAGGGGACTGAGGGGGAGGGGCCTTGAGGTGACAGAATCCCTCACTCATCTCTCAGACTGAAGGTCTCTGATCTGGGGGCTCCCCAGCTGGCTGTCCATCACAACCCGTCACAGCGCGTTAAAAATACAGATTCCCCAGCCAGCCGCATCAGCATCCCTCACCCTGGGCCCAGGAGTATCTTTGTGCTAAGCCTCCGGGTGCCTTGTGAAGTGGCCTAGCTCTGATGCAGTCCAGTTTCACCCAGTGCATGGATCCTTTCTCCAGCACCTCTGGAAAGGGGTTCCAACAAACCCTCTCAACACCCTCAGTGACGGGGCAGCAGCCATTGGTATGGTCAGAAGGGCTTTTCCTTACCCAGAACCGACATCTGCCTCCCTAAAGCTGACCTTCTGTCTGCCCTGTGGGGCCACCTGTCCCGTAACCTTTCTCCCATAAGAATGATGGAGAAAGCGTAGCCACCCTTTAGTGAATGCTCACCAGGTACTGACAGCCCTGAGGAGGGACTTAGAGTCATGGCGATTTGCCCAAAGTCACACAGCGAGAAAGGCAGAGCCGGGTGTGGACCGAGGCCCAGTGCACGTGAGGGCCACTGCCCTGGGCCTCCTGTCCTCCGGCTGCGTGCCTTGGCTCCTTTAACTGCCTTCGAGTCTCTTCTCAGCACCGGCAATGGGATCCCCTTGTCAGCATCCTCAGAGGTCATGGTTCCCAGCCCAAAAGCTTCCATGTCAGAAAGTAGCCCAGACTGCCTCAGTAGCTCCCCAGAGGGCTCCAGCTGGTGTGGGCACCAGCCTCAGCCAGGGTTCCAACTAGGCTAAGAAACTTTACGAGCTCGCTGAACATTGAATGAGATATTGGTGGAACAGTGACTGAACACTGGAAGCACTAGCTATATTTATCATTGTGGCCCAGGACCTGAGTACAAATGGCTGCCTTCTCCTCTCTGCTGAAGGTTAAATGGGAGGGCCCTTGAGGGTGATGGGGGGGAAGCGGGTACCTGTTTGACTCTTGTCTTTCTCCTTGCCCTAAAGGTGAATCTGGGCCTCCTGTTATTCTCACTCCTGGGATTCCTGCTGCCTTCTTACCTCTTCTACTACCGTGCCCAGCTCCAGAGGGAGTACGCCACCGACTGGGAGGGCCCAAAGAAGGTGCTTGGAAGCTCCGAGGTGACTGCCTAGATCCCTGCAGCCAAGGGACCCGGATGACAGGCCAAGGCCTGAGCTACCAAAGGGAATGCCTTGCCGGAGTCCGGCTCCAGCGGGCCCAGGGGTTCCCGAAGGATGAACGGCGTCGGCGAAAAAGTGAAAATAAAACAAAACTAGAATAAAAAACTAAAATAAAAACGGACACAGACAACAGCAGTGCGTTGAACTGGCCGATTTATTGTAGCAAACGTGGCATGATATGTGTGCTAGTGATTTCCTTGGAGCATACGTCATCTGTGTGTTCCTAACATCGCCTAATTTTAAAAATGTTCCTACGTGTAGTCAACCTTTAAGAAATAACATGGCGATTTTCTCGTAAAGTTCCCGCATACCCTTTGATTATTGATTAATTTCTTACCTTATTCCATTATGCATCTGCGTTTATCTATAATCTACAAAGCATTTGCTTTGCTGTTCTCGTGAAAGGCCCTCCATTTCTCGATGCCTCAAGTGGAACAGTTACAGGGACATGACCTCCTAACCACAAGAGTCCAGAAGAACAATGTGTTTGCCTCGGTCCGAGGTGCCGGGAAGGGGCCGATAGGACCTTAGAAACCCATGCCTCACACATTCTCAGAGAGACAACGCACCTAGGAACTAAGGAACCATCCTGTACGTGAACCGACTAGGTTCAGTCACCATCTGGAATGCCTCCGGGGGGCCAGGTGGGCCTAGGAGTTGAAGTCACCTGTGCCCAGAGATACACTCCTTAGTTGCCCGAGTGGGGCTTTCAAATCCATTTGTCTCTCCTTTACAGGCCCTCTTTGCTGGCAAATGCAGAGGCCATCCTTCCTGCGAGTGGAGGAGTCTCCACAGGGCACGGCAAGGGCTAAACGTAGAGCCGCTCAACTTCTTGCAGAACCTTATTTTCTTCCCTAATGGTTCTTTTCCCAGGGGGCCTGTCGAGGGCAATTCCCCAACAGACAACACCCCAGGTACTTTTAAGGCCAAATTACCTAAAAGCGGG